TATTGATTGTGTTTGATTTATTGCCTGTACAGCACTTTGACCAAAAGTGCTTTATAAAATTATTATTATTATTATTATTATTATTATTATTATTAACAAAAAACTATTCTTATTGACTAATTATTCAACTGACATGAAATCTTTTAAATGCCGCATTTCCTGCTGATGGTTTAGTGTGGAGCATCTTAGTTATAGTATTATAATGTCAAACATAGGAAATAATTAGCAGTACACAGTAGCATGAACAAACATATTTAACAGACAGGCACAGCAGACTTTCAGACTTACATCACTATCAAAAACCACAGATGTGTCTTAGAAAGCAGCAAGGAATTAAAAATACAACAAATCCCAATGTTTTACAGTATGTAGGACACAGCAATGAAGTGTAGTCTTCCATTCAGCCACTGGTGCAGCAACCCCAAGCCAATGCATCTTATTTACAGGCTGTTTAGTCCATGGAATACTAATTTACTAGAGCATAATGTTCCCATTGGATGAAAATAATCGACTAAATCAGATTGGTACCTGTGCCTCCTGGTCTAAATGGGTGGGAGTTCGAGCTCTGGACCCTCTGGTCTCATTCACTTTCTCTTTCCATCCATCAGCCTTTTGCTGGAGAGATGCGCTCGTCTGAAAACAGATGAGAGAGGTGAGCACCTCATTAAATCTCAATCGGATCAAGCAGCAACAAGATTAACACATACGCTTCAGTAAATGAGATTAAGGACACTGAGACGTGAGTTCCATTAGATAATCAAGCAATTAACATGCTATCACACTGATGGAATAAAAATGCTGGCAAACTCAATGTCTTGGTGGCACGAAGAATTCTTAAGTGATGTTTACATTTGGCTTAACTTCACTCCACCGTCACCTGGTGATGGATTGCAGCTTCTACAGCCTGTGTGCTAAATACTAATCTGACATTATCATCAAGTGGGAAATTCAGCAAAGTCAATCTGCACTTTGCATCGATGGTCACAAGTTACAGCAAGATTTAAACTTATGTCTTCAAAGTATCGACTAAAAGAAAGTACTGTAACTTTAACTATTAACGGTCTTTTTTCAATAAAACCTCAAAATTATAATAATGTGAGAGATCTTCTCATGCATTGCAAACTTGCTCATTAGTTTGCATGATCCTTGATCTGGAGCATGCTAACCTTGCCGCAGGTTACTATGGTGAATAAACTACTCTAAACCAAACCATTTAAAACTAATCCAGCACCCAGCAATGCCTGAAAGCCAGAGCTGAACCCAAATGTTACTGTGCCCTTCACTTCACTTTGAATAAATGAATTTTGGTTCAAACGTTGGCTAGAACAGAAGTAACTTATTGAACTTTGGTTCACTGTTGTTGTGTGTGTGTGTGTGTGTGTGTGTGTTTGTGTGTGTACCTTGTTTATTAGAAACAGCAGTGACTGAGTGAGGCCACAGTGTTTCTCTGCTAAGAAGCGATACCTTCTCTCTTCCTCCTTCAGGATCTCCTGCTGGCTCTGCCTCAGGTACACCATGTATTCACTGTTCTCCTAAAAATGCAAACGCAGCGAAGCATGAACACATAAAATTCCACAAATACAGTGGCACAGATGTATTGCTACCGGACTATGTGTGTGGATGTACATTATATATTACACTGTGTGGTTGTGTGATCTGTATGTGTAACTACCAGAGAGTCTCTGAAGGTTCCTCGCCGTAGCTGCTTCTCCAACGTCTCTGCTTGGTTCCTCACCTCCAGCTCATACACTCTGCGACTCCCCTGCAGCACACAAAGAGTTTAATTAAAGAACGGCAAGTTTTACCTGAGCTGCAAGGTGGCGCAGTTGGTTAGCACTGTTGCCCCGCAGCAAGAAGGTTGCCGGTTCACGTGGAGTTTGCATGTTCTCCCCGTGCAGCGTGGGTTCTCTCTGGGTTCTCTGGCTTCCTTCCACATAGTCCAAAAACATGTTGAGGTTAATTGGTGATTCTGAATTGTCCGTAGGTGTAAATGTGAGTGTGCTTGGTTATCTGTCTCCAAGTGTAGCAAGGTGTCCCCTGCCTTCACCCTGAGTCAGCTGGGATAGGCTCCAGCCCCCCATGACCCTAGTGAGGATTAAGCGGTGTATAGATGATGGATGGATGGAAGTTTTACCTGAATTGTTTGTAATAGGTGCAGCAGATATTGTTTATGCTGCTCTATCTCTTCAATTCTGATGCTGGTGAGGCTAACCCTAACCCAGCTCACCTGTCTGATGCCAAGTCAGGTCTAAAGTCAGCATTTGCAACAAAAGTCAGGAAAGTGTGATCTACAGTATAATGTTTAAAGTGCTGTTTTTCTTTATGATTATTAGTGGTTTTAAAAATGAACGCACAGAAATCACATAGTTGTGTCTGTTATGATCTTGAAAAGGTGAGTTTTTAAAAGGGACTTGAATGTGTGGAGGTCAGAGGGTGGGAGCAGCAGGAGAAAAGGTTCTGTTCTCCCCCCAGGTTGGGTGCTTGGTGCTTGGTGATGGGGCGAGGAGGTGAGCAGAGGAGGAACGAAGGCTGTGGGAAGGGGTGTGGGGCTGGAGCAGGTCTGTGAGGTAGGAGGGGGCCAGATGATGGAGGGCTCTCTGGGTGAGGAGGAGGAGGATCTTGAACGTGATGCGTTGTTTGACAGGGAGCCAGTGGTTGCAGATGTTGGGGGACGGGGGTGATGTGATCACATGAGCAGGTGTGGGTGAGGAGACGGGCGGCAGAGTTTTGAATACGTTTTTTGAGGAGTTAGGAGGGTAAACCATAGAGGAGGCTATTGCAGTAGTCCAGTGGATTAACAGAGCAGGTCCTGATGCTAAAACAGTGGCTGGTATATGGGCTATTCTATAAATGAGGACTTGCCGCTGGTTTTGTAGTACATGTAGTTGTAAATGCAGTAACTGTGGTTAAAGTGATCATATACATGAGGCACAAATTATTGGTTGTTTTACTGGAGCATGTCTAAAAACATGGCAACAAACACAAACATTCTGGCCCCAAATGTTCTTACTATTCAGCTAATAATATAACGAATTTAGCAAAATGAGTGGATTAAGAAGACACAAATAATTGCAGTGGCGTAATTATACAAATCTTCCACTGAGCACACACAATGCGGCGTAAGCTTTCCAAAATTCAGATAGAAAAACATCAGCTACACTCACATCAATGTACTCCTCATCCAGCTTGATGTTCTTCTCCATCGCTTGCAACACCTCCACCTGGAACCATCGAAACTGCAGCAGGAGCAAAGACAATAATCGTTATGGAAACCGACTCCTTGTTCAAACAGTAGTTTTAATTATCAGATTGTTGGACGACATCTACATGCAAATGTGCAACTTGTTCAGGACAACTATTTAATCACAGGCCATTATTTTCTTATTCACAGTGCTGAAAGCCACTGCAATTAGGCACGAGGGTGGGCTAGTGGCACTATGAATTTTAAACAAGCAGTGAAACACAAGGACAAAGTGATCTCCCAAAAGCTTTGGTTTAGCAGTTTGTTACGAGTGAAATCATCTTAACAAACGAAGCGTACATATTCATAAAAGACTGATTTTTTTTTTTTATTTTTGAAGAGAATTTGCTTGTTACACCAAATGTTACGGGTCACTTGACAAATTATTTTACTGGCTTAGTCATCACTGGGCACGATTAGAAAATACTAAAAAGTTTTGAGGAAGTTGTTAACATTTTTTTTTTTTTTTTTAAATCTAAGACTTGTATTTTCAAGACTGCAAGAATCCTGTGTTTACTGATGAAATGTACTGACCACGCCCTCCATCTCTGCAGTAAGTCTCCTCTGTGTTTCTGATATCTGGATCAGGACATCCCCTGGTTAAAGCAAAAACAAATTTGACTGACCAACAACAAATCAGAGCAACACACATATCAAAAAGCCTGACATTATCGTGTTTTATACAATCGTGTAATTCAGGGAATGCCAGTAATTCGATATATAATTTTAACACAATTCAACACTACTCAAGTCATCATGACATTCTTTTGATCGCTGGGGCTGCTAAGATGGTGGAAAGTTAGCCAAGCCTTTTTTATTATGGGTGCCTCTGGCCTTGTCTATTGTCATGGATTGTGGTCGAGTTAATGAATTGAGTGCAGCTGAAAGACTGTCCTCATCTATAATGCAGGAGCTGCCACTCAATAGGGCCCCTGGTCACGCTGTGGCTCCCTGACCTTCTCGGTTAGCCAACTTAGCAGCAGCACGTGGTGCCGTGCTGTGCTAGCGAGCCCACACACTCTTCTTAATGGGGACGCGTTAGCATAACACTAATTACCACTAACAATGCTATCACACGTCCCCGGGGTCAGAGTGAAAGTGAAGCTTGTGGAAAATATACGCTCATGCATGTCACTTGTACCGGGCACACGGGAGAATGCACACCTGGACAAAAAGACATGTCAACACACACACACACACACACACACAACCACACACACGTGCACACATACAAGAGAGGATGTGAAAGAGCTCCGGGGACAAAGTTTTAAGGTTGCTGAGTACGTGTGGTATTTTATAATGATGGGGCTTGACATTCACTTGATAGAGCGCTTGACCATCGCTGAAGGACAAATCTGTTTCCGTAATGAATGCAAAGAATTAGGTGTGAAACCTGTTGAGTAATCAATCACAAATATAAACACACACACACACACACCAACCCACATTCTTACCAAGTGAGCGAGATGAGAGCGTGTGAAGTGCCTGGTCGCCCATCTTAGCCACAGCGCTGAAGTAGGACTCACTGCAAACAGCTAAGGCTGCAGTGGAAACACATATTAAAACATGCTTAATAAACCTACAGGCGCTACAGAAACATCACAGCAAATCACTCATAATTGGAACAATCAATTCCTGCTTTTATTCATCATGAGCACAAACCCTGGACATGTGATATGTGATTCTGGTCTAGGAATAGCCCCGTGCCAGTGGGTATAGTTTTACCACATTGCCCTGTTGCCCTGTGACTGACGGCCTGCTCTTGTTTTATCAGGCAGAGAGGTGCATTAATGATGCATGCTGCTCACCCAATTACCAACGTAGCACATACGATAAAGACTGAAGAAATGCAGATAAGAAGGCTGAGTGGAGACAGACAAGCAAACGCAATGTAATGCAGGTTAAAAGTTCTGTTGAGCGTGTTTCGAATTATTTTCCTTTTTGCCTTTATCAGAGCAGAAGGGAAAGAGGGGAGAAGAAGGGAAAGGTTGGGAGTCGATCCCACGATGGCTGCATCGGGGACTATAGCCCCTGTTTGTGGGTCTTATCCGGTTGAGCTACCGGGGCCGCGCGCTAACTCAAACTCTGCTTTATAATGTTATCAGCACTGAGGCAAACTCAACATTTCTTCCTTATACGTATTGTAAGTTTATTTTTTTGCTGACTACTTGATACAAAACTTTGCTTTTTGTCTCCAAAAAAAAGGGGCTCTTACAAATTGAATGACTTGTAGCTTCAGGATGAAGTAAAACAACTTTGCAGGTGCATTAAAAAACAACTCAGGTAAAAAGTTCAATGGTACAAAAGTGCAGTCAAACACTTTTAGACATATTTGGGGATTTTATTGTAGTTGACCTGCAATTAAAAGTCTCCAACATATTCTACATCTCAGTGGTTGGTGTAAAATCCTGCTCTATAATCTGTGTTACAACAGCAAGTAAAACCAAATCCTACCACAACAACCACAGTATTATTTCCACTAATCAATATTTTATCACGGGCTGCATAGGTTACACGTTGTTTGCTATTTTTAAAATGTCAAAAAAGTTCAATGCATGCCACCTGGTCGCTCACTCACCTTGAAAAGCCTTCACATAGCTGTTTCCTAGAGCTACGAGCCTCTGGAGGCCTGGGTTGAAGTGCTCCATCAGGTTCTGCAGGGGGGGAAAAAAAACATACAAAATACACAACAAGCAACAAACCAAAGAAACTCAGCCATGACTTCAGGTGTAACCAAACACGATGGAAGCTAAAGTACCACCAGGCCACGCTTAAATTCTTCATCCCATCTAAAATACTAATGCCTGTTTTTCCACAGCACGAACCGAAACCAAAAGTAGAGAATGAAGAGACGACGTGAACTCACCGAATAGACGGTTAAAGTTGACTTGTGCAACTGGTCACTGCTGACTCCCGACATGGTGACCAACTTCAAGGATGATATTCAGTTCAAACGAAAAACAAAACTTGAAAAGAGATTGTCAGAGACAGAATGGATTTCTGTGTAAAGTCTGTATTCCCATTCAAACTTCTGAAGAGGTTTCCCCGGGCCTTTCTCGTCCGGGCCCGATCAGCGTCTTAAGGCAGTGAAAGTCACCTTCACTTTAGTCCCGCTGGCTCTGCTGCGGTTCAAACGACCGATAACGCCTGTCTGATAGAATGATAGTGCTTTCCCCTCTGTCCCTTTTTTTCAGTCATTCGTTAATGAGCTCTTTTACCCCCCCCTTGTCATCAGCAGTTTTCAGGGAAAGAGCGAGCGGGCGAGCAAGTGCGAGGAAGAGAAAAGGGAGTAGGTGTCATCGATACGACCGGGCCGGGGTAAATTATTGATCGCAGCCCTGAAAGGAAAGGAGAAGGAGGACATCCAGCTGCCTAACTAGCTGTGACGTAGACTCACACCTCAGGGATAACCTCGACTTTGGAGAAACAAACTGCTGTCTTAAAAAAATGTGCATATTAAGCACTTAAATGCAAGAAATTAACTCTCAGAACACTTTTCACAGTTCAAGCACTGCGATAAAACATCTCAGCCGATCCCACATAGAGACTGTTTCATAAGACTCATAACGAATGTCTATGAGAAATATACTACAAATCTAATCACACAGCAAAGACATGAATCCTCCACTCTGTTCAGTATGAAATTATTTCAACAGGTGTTCGATAGATCGCTTGTATTCTTTCCATAACCGGTGGTGGTTAATGGGTATCGTCGTGGTCGACTTAAGTGAAATATAACCTCTTCTCCGGTCGGCTGCCGGTGCACGCACGTGTAGCCGATTGTGTGTTTGTGTTGTGAGGGCATTTCTGAGTGACAGCAGCTCAGTGACTGCGGCAAAAATCACCACTCAGAAGCAGGCTGTCGTTCATTCTGGTTCCTGGTTCCTGTCTTTTCAGAGCAGCCACTCCCACCTGCTCTGCTTTCCGCCTGGCTACACCACCTGATCTTTCCCACTCGTCTGCTCACCTCTTCCCACTCTGCTCATTAGTCTTATATGAACTACCCGTCCACTGAAGGCACTTTACTTGATTGTCACTTTGGGTGCGTTTCAGCATTCTTCTGGTTAGTTTTCTGCCTTGTTTTTGGACCGTGCCTGATAATTTGGACTCTGCTTGACTGCTCCTTTTTTGAAGAACTAAGTACATCTGTTTTCTACTTCATGCTTTCGGTTCCTTGCTCTGAAACTTGACAAAGAGTCTAAGTGGAATTACTAATCCTACCTGATGAATTTATGAAATATCAACTTATTTATTCACCCTGGTACCCCATTTAAAATTCATGAGCAGATGTCTTCTACTTTAAACTCTCGTTGAACCACTCTAAATCTGTTCTAATGGAGTGTATTCAATGAGACATTCAACTAGTTTGAGAGTCTGAGAACTACACATCTAAAAATCCTTAAAAAGTTTAATTGGACTTCCAAATTTTAGTGTCAACAAACCACTCTGACTCATTCAAACAAAAATAAAAGGAAAGAAAAACACTGTTTATATTCTTCCAACGTTTCATGCGTGTATTTGTCGGCTTGTGTTTGAGTCATTTCGGAAACTGTTGTGACTAATTCCTGATAACCTTTAATATTATTTATTTTTTCCAAAGGTCACAGAGCGAGAAAACTTTAAATACAGAGAAAAACTTGTAGAGTAGAAAAAAGAGGCTGCGGATACAAGTGAGAATACTATTAAAGATAGATTGCCCTTTTAACTATTTTTAAATAGAGTCCACTAAAAAGCAAGACGGGCAAAATTTTGGATTTTACTGACAGACGTACATCTGACAATATCAGTAAGACGCCTTTGATCAGTCCAGGTGAAGGCAGACTTGCATCTCAAGCTCGAAATCCCAAACCCCTCCGTGACTACAAACACAAAGTTTAACCTTCAACAGGCACCTTTTGGTGTCATCACATTTGAATGTACCAACTTCCAAAACTATAATAAGAGCCAGTCCAGACAAAATAGACATACACATCCAGAGAAAACAGCCCAGGCCAGGCAGACACACACACCCAGAGGACACACACACACACACACACACAACTAAATGCTGCATTGCATTTGTGTTGCGTCTGGGTGAACAGAGCAAAGGTTTGGTGAGACAGTACATGGAGAACGGACATACAAGGTTTTGACAGCCAGTAGCAGGCACCCCAAAAACTATGTTCCCTTTTCCAACATTACACTGGCTGAAAAGTATGAATGTTGCAGTGCGTGTGTTTCACTGCTTCACAATCATGGATGGTTTCTAGACTTTCAAGTGTCCTGTGTATGCGTGGCGTTTTAACTGGGAGTATGTAAGTATGTCTTTAGGTTTTGCTCCTTCCATCCTTGTCTTGAAGCTAGTTTAATTATAAACGCAGACATCATGTGACGAATGTGTGAGACTGTTCTACTCAGATGGAATGAACATGTCTTTCAAATAGGCAATATCGTCATAAATGACCTCTGCACCGCCACCATCCCCTTTCTGTTGCTTTTGGCAACGACTCACAGTCTCTAGCACAGTTTTCAAACGGCGATTGAGGGCAGCGAGGTGGGGCTCCGACAGCAGCGGGGCCACCCTGTGGAGGGGGTCACTGGAAAGTGAGGCCCTCATGACATCACTGAGGCGGTACTGTGGCAAAGAAAGGAGACGCAGGCGTAGCCAAGTGGAGCGACGGATTCTGGAGAAAGAGCAAAGTGAAAAAGATTGGTAGAGAAAGAAAGATGAAAATAGGGAGGAACAGTAAGACAAGAAAATAGGACAAAAATGATGAGGCATTAGGTTCGGTTCGTCAGTTTCCTTGTGCCTTAAAGCATAAAACCTGAACTGTTGGCAATATCCGATATTACTTAATGATTAATGTGATATTCACATGGTCATTGCTTCAGCTACTGACATCACATTTGGAGCCAAAATTATCACAGTAACTAAATTCAATATCGTTTCTAAAATGTCTGTATCTGAAGACAATAAAGTGAACAATGTCGTGAACAAACGTACAATTCTAAGAAGAATTTACTACTATTCGGAACATTTTTGCACGTACCTGCAGCACTGTTCTAGTGGCGCCAAGATAGAAGGCTCATCTTTGGAGTGACGCCCAAATCTGCAGTGAGAACAGACCTGAAGTCAGTGGAATTAACAACCAAACCAGCACTGAATTAGGACAACTCTGAGCAGAAATACTCACGCCCTCCCGTTGTCGAGGTGCAGCAGGAAGGTATTGTTGCCAAACCTCTCAAAAGTTTCATAGTGGTGTCTGTCCATGTTACCTAGAGAGAGAGAGAAGGATCTGGTTACAGCTCTGCCCCTCCATCCTCACACACTTCACATAATATGTAAACAGAAATATTCCAACATAAACATATGAGGGATTAAAAACAAAAACATACTTTTGAATCTGTGCTGTCGGTATTGCCACTTTATCAGGACTCTCAAATAATCTATTAAAGTCTTCTTTTAAGATTTCAGACTGTTCCTTTCTGATGTCCACCGCACCCACGTGCACAATCAGATGTCAGAGACTGTGGCACTTGGATAGCTGCAGGTAACTATTCTGTTCATATTAGATACGGCTCCATCTCCAAGCACAAGGATACCTTTGACCGTCACACTTTGTACAGTTCTTCTGTCCATCTGCTGCTCTGTACTGATTTCAGGGTTTCTGTTTTGCACAGTGATTTTAGTTTTCTCTCTGTTTGTTAAACTCAGTCACACTTGGCTCCGACAGCGGTAAAAATCTGTTCGTTAACTTTTTTCTGGGTGATGTTACGTATCCTCCATTGATACCAGCATTTTGACTTGGCTTCAGCTTAGCACCGAGTTGATTAACGGTGTCTTTACAGAGTCTTGGAAGAGACACGGTAACATTTAGCTTTTGGTTTAAGTTGAAAGTAGCCGTTTTTGTTTTTACCTTTTCCTTTGTAAGTAAATGTGGACTTCTTACCACTGGATTCCACTGGGAGCGTTTCCTAAAGTCCTAATCCAGTTTCTAGAATTAAAAACCCTTCTTGCAGAGCACAAATTTCTTGTTTATTTATCCGACCGCATCCACAGGGAGAGTTTGTTTGGACTACTCCCTTGGACATGTTGAGGAGAGTGTAATCGCTGGCTCGTCAGATAAGTTAGAAAAATAAAAACAAAAGTCTTGGTTCACTTAAAAGAAAAGAATAAAATAAAATCCAAGATTTGAGAACAAAAGTAGAGTGATTAAAAAGTGAGTAAAGGAGTAAGCAGCAGGAGTAAGCAGAGAGACGTCTGCTCCTGAAGCGAAGTGAAGAAGACAGTTTTAATGAAAAACTCATTTCAAAGTATTAAAAAGAATAGACATACTGTAACTGTAAATCCATTTACAACTGTACATACATACTGTATATAAAGAGCATCAATCTTAATGGTTCACAATACAGAAGACGTCTGATGCATTTGACCATCAGTTTGGCACATCACAGCTGGTGAAGGAAGCTCAGTACAATCAGAGCGTACTTACGAGCCTCACCCGCCTCAAAGTGCACAAAACAGGATTTAGGTTGGCATGAAGGGGAATCTTTGTGATAATGTTAACATCAGCTAGTTCCCAGGTTCCACTGTCCTGCTCTTCGTCCAGATAGAGCGGGCAGTGGTAGACTGGTAACTGAGCAGAAGTCAATGGAGAGACATCCTCGACTTGAACGCTGCAGGAGTCCTTTAAATATGCACAGTCGCAAGACAACACATCTCGAGCAGCGTCTGTGCTCTTGACTTGAGCCTTAACGTAAAGAAGCGGCAGTGAGCATGGCTGAGGGGAGAGTGTGTCCTGTAGGGCTCCCAGCTGTGCATCCCATGATGCCCCTTTCAGCTCCAGGCCACACAATAATGCACAATGCCGAGGAAGTGAAGGTGGGTGTGTGCTATTACACACAACCTGGATGGACAAGAACATTATCTTGAATTACTCGAAAGTGTTTAGAAAGTGGGACATTAACTTTTTCTATTAACTGAGTTTGAAATGTAGAAGGTCATTCTAACATGAATATATTTGAATGCTTTACCTGAAAATGCAGCGATACTTCACTGATACATCTGCGATTTATTCGAGCGGCCTCTCTCATCACTGCCACCAGGAAGCCTCTGGCTTTTCTGAAAGCAGATAGTCGATAGGCACCAGGTGGATCTGAAGTACTGCGACGCCAGAGATAAGCACAGAGCAACTCTGCTCTCCTCTCCAAGCGAGACAAGTCAGTGAGTTTGAGGAGGAAAGCGAAGGTCAGCGTGTATAGACCGGGCTGTTGGAGCTGTGAGAGGAGCAAGGACACCAAATCAATGAGATCATCCCACTCAGTCTGGAGAAAGTCACGTAGGGGACTGTGAGAAACAGCTCCTGCATTTGTAACTCTGCTGTCATTGCTGTGTGCAAGGTAACTCTTCAGAGCCTGCAATTTGTCTCTCGCATGGCTATAGGTGGGCAATACTGCCAGCTGGTTGAGTTTGGTGCTAAGACTCCTTTCTGTTCCTAGAGGAGTTTGGGAAGCCTGCAGTAGTTTGTTCAGATTGAGGCTATTGATCTTGACTATCTCAGCTGCTACATCAACACTGAATCCCAACAGAACAGGGTCACTCCTGTTTGTTGAATCCCAAAGCCCATTCTTCAAACCCTGTAGGAGTCTTGACAAATCTGAGGACATAAAATAAACCCCAAATCACTACATTGCATTTATACAAACTTATTATTTCTTGGTTATATCAATGAATATTTAACTGATGCAGTTCTCATGTTGCACCTTGCTCTGTATGTCAATGTGCTTGTATGCTATGTGACATATCAGGACCAGGTTGTTTGGTTACCAAAGTTGCCAGAAGTGGTGATAACATTTGAGATGATGTGTGGTCCGTTGCCCCGGAAAGGCAACACTGTGCTGAAGCAAGTCTCAGCAACACTCTGCACCACCTCCAAATCTGCAGAGTCCATCACATGGCCGCCATGCACTAGATTGACTAAGAATGGAAAATACAACACGGTGAAGCATATAGTAAGTGAATTAGTGAGACCGTTTCATCTTCTCATGCTGCCTCACCTGCTATATATTGCAAAACCTTGGTCTTGTCATGGCAGAGACTGGCAATGCCAATGTAGGCATCCACTAAAGCAAGGAGATCCTCCTGACTCCTTTAAAAACCAAGCGATCCACATGCATAAGCAAAACATTTTTTGAAAACAATAAGTTTACATGATGTTTGGTAACGCTCTGAGCAGATGTGATGAATATCCACAGCTAGTATGTGTAACAATTTTCTCACCAATGATAGATTTGTCCATGGCCTGAGTATTTATAGGTCTGTCTCTGTAGCAAGACAGAGTGGAAGATGGCACAGCGGAGGAGCAACTCCGTATCACTGGCTGTGAAATCTGGCCGTGGTGGAGGCTGATTGACAAATGCCACCTGTCGCAAAGAACAGCTCAGCTCCTCCTTCAGATCCCAAGGAGAGTCACAGACCAGAGGCAGGGCACAGATTCGCACTGCAGCTGTTTGATAATCATCATCAAAATTACAATTATTAAAAAACAGCAAAACCAGGGTCACTGTTTTTATTTTAAACAGTAATGAAAGTAATAATAAATGTACCTGGTATGAGGTGTGACGCATTTTCTTCAGTTACAAACCACAATCGGAAGCACGGGTGAATCAGGCAGGGCTCCTCTGCGTGATGTGAAGGCAGGCATGCAAGTAGGTCGGCAGGCAAAAGCACAAAAAACACGGCTGGGTTTTAAGCGTTGGTTAATGATGACAAATGGAACGAATGCAATTTAAACTGATTCTTGATCGACCACCGACCTTTCACAGAGGAGATCAGGTGTCTCAGGTGAGCCACTACTTTCTCATCCCATTGCTCCAGCAGATGGCAGTTGTTGAAAACCAACCAGTGGCCATCATTAATGGCTTTGTCCAGCATTGAAAGGATGAGCTCACCATCACGCAGTCCCCCAACAGAAACTACTTTCACCTCAACCTAAAGCATATTCATTAAGAAAAACATTAAGCACTGCATTACAGATAATAAACTGAAACAACTAAATTAGTGTGTGCGGTCACCTCTTTGTCTTCTGAAACACAGTGGGCCATTTGGTGTATTAACTGAAGAGGCAGGATGCTTATCCACTTATCATCTTTTGGACTGGGCAGTACAAGAATGATGGGTCCCTCATGTTTGACAACATATCGTGAGAGGGCCTCTGGATTCCCAATGTGAGGGACCTCAGTCCCTGCTGACTCTCCACACAGGCAGAGCAGGCAGGCGTTTATGTCATCAGCTACTCCCTCCAGGCAGTTCGGCAGCATGGTTTTCCAGAGTAGAGCCCGCTGCAGCAAGGAGAGATGGGAGTGAGAGCGGCAGGGAACAGTACCCACCACAGTAGAGGAAGGGAACTGCAGGTACTCCTGCCAATGTTTGGGGGAAGCGCAGAGTGAGGCAATCAGCCCTTTGAAAGAAGGGATCTCTTCCAAGCAGAGAAGCTCTGAGTGGACACAAGGTGATATCCAGCTGGGCAGAGCACTGCTGGACTGTGGAACCATGTGGGCAGAGGGGCAGGGTTTGACTTTAGTTTCAGGATGCTCTCTGTCTGTAAGGCCCCTGAGGAAGACCAGCTTCTCAGCTTCAGAGCAAAGCTGATTGTGCTGCAGCAGAGCCAAAGACACCAGCAGCTTCAGAACCAGAGCATGGCTCTTGAAGAGACAAGGCCTGTATTGTACCAATAGCTGGACCACCATCCTGTTCATGATCTCTGGTATTAAGCTCCCTGGCACTTTCCCAATCGTATATGACACCAATGGCCTTCCCTTTACAGTGAAAGCCTCTTGCATTACTTTGATGAAGCCACGTAGAGAAAAGTGATAAGCGGGGGACAGACGGGACACCGCCTGCAGAGCCTCGTACAGGGCAGCTGCCAGCCTCACTAACTGGAGGGGAGCAGCCAGCAGGGATTTGTGGTGGTCCTGCTCCTCACGCAGCCGCTTCATCTCAGCCTGCAGTTTCTTCACCACATCGAGACAAACAGCCGCACGAGGAGAAAAACCTGGGTCTTGCAGAACGTTATCAAACTGCAGGATGTAGTCCATCAGAGCATCCTAAAAAAAAAAAAAAAGATTGTTTACAATAAATTGATGTCCAGCAACTATGAAGATGGAATAACTGAGTGTTCATCAAGTAGAATTTAGCATCACAGCACTGCACTCTGCTTTCATTTGATTTAAGAAATAAAAAATGTCAGCACCAGTTTAACTAAAAAATACAAAGAGCACTCCACACTTAAACAGAACGTTTGTACAGCACGCAAACTATATATCAACTTGACATGAAGACAAAGTCTGGGGGAAAAAATTCAGCTGGACAGTGTTCAGGTAATGATATGACTTGTCGTCTCAGAAAACTCAATAACTATGTAAAAAACAAAAACATTTTACATGTAAAAAACATATCGAGTGATTTAGAGGCCGTTTGAAAAATATTTCAGAAAAACCTCGTCTTTGTTTCATAAGCAAAGACAAAAAAATGTCAACCATCAATAGCATGTAATGGCTTGCAAGAGAAAAATAGTAAACCTCTGCACACTAATTTGAGTCTACTTATCGATTAACTATTGATTACTTAATGCAAAACAACCAAGACAAACAATATATTAGCTTAATATGATGCTTAATATGACGGCTGTCTAGTCACCTTTTCTGTGACGAGTTTCTCCTGCAGCAAGTGATTATAATTCTGGAATCGCAAGGTTTGAATCAGCAGTTCTTTACACTCAGACTGCAGCAGCTGTGTCAGCATCAGCTCTTGAATCTCTTCTGAGCTCAGAGAGAGGTCAACCACATGTACTCGAGCCAAGATGGATGCATGGATCTCTACATAATGGGAGTAAAGACATGTTTGTCAGATTAGTAAAAAAAAAAGAGGTCATTTTCACAAGAGTGTCCAGTTCACTCATTTCTTGTTAGGATCTGTCTATTTTTGTATCAATTGCAATCAACTGGTAACAGAAACAACCGACAGTATTGTACTGGGAGCATGAATGCATAGCCTTTAAGTCTGGTGCAAAAAAAAACAAATCAATTCATGCAAGAGAACTTTAACAGAGACTACCCCTCTACAGTTGGATAGTCTCTGCTTATCATTCTTACCACTGACAAGTAGTCTGACAGGCAGATGGGTGCTGAGGAAGAGGCAGAAGTCAGGGTGGACCAGCTCAACAGGCTGCTTTAATGCTGGGAAGCAACATTTGTCAGGGCGTGCCAGTTTGTCCAGAAACTGAGGACTAGGGACTGCACGTTCCATGTGAGTGACTAGAACTCTCAAACCTGCACAAAAAAAACCAAAATGTTAGAATGAGTATAAGGCTGGGAAAAAAATGTTTTAACTTAAAATGCCACATATTTTTTTTGTCTTATTAGTTTCCTATTGTGTTACCTTTTTCAGCAGCCTGGTCCAGCTTGTCCAGCAGCTCTGGATCATCTGCACAAACCACCATCCCAAACTCCGTCTCCTTCTCAAGTTTAGCATTCTCTCCTGTAGAGGAGTTATTTGACAGCACAATTTATGATTCAGATTTTATTTTGTATGAGGCCAATCGAGTCCTTGAGTGAGGATTCTGGAGGTTTGTAACTTCTGGCCAGACAAAACAGAAGCTATGATACATTTGAGTAATGAATTTTTGATATTTGATCGGGTAAAAGGGAAGCCTGTTTTGTAAATGTAAGGACTTACCTGTGATAAGCCAGTTTTGACAGCTTATCTCAAGGTGTTGCTGAGTGTCTGCCAGTAGAGGCCAACGCTGGACATAGCCACCTCTGTAACCCCACAGCAACAGCTTAACCACCAGTCTGGCAGAAAGTGTGTCCTCAAGTTGCCACTCGTTCATCCCTAATACCTGACCCAGAGGCAGCTGCAGCCTCTCAGTGACAGGGATGGGAAAACCAGGACAGTGGATGAGAGGTGCAGCGTCAAAGTCTGTAAACAGGGAGGTTCTGGGGTCCTTGGGGTTTACGTTGATGCTTCCTGTCTGGCACAGCACCCTCCACTTGCTCAGCAGTTCTGTGCGAATATCAGGTGCAAAGGGGCCTAAATAGGAGATGATTGCAGCCAGGATAAGGGCATCCCCTGGTACGCTTTGATTTCGTAACTCTGCCTCCTGAAGGGAAAAAAAGTTGATAAGAAAATTATGATTATTTAAATTTTTCTTGTAGATTAATCGTAGCAACTGGACTTGCTTGAGTTCCTTGAAGACGTTTCACCTCTCATCCAAGAGGCTTCATCGGTTCTGATGTCAGAGCTCAGAGTCAGAATTGATGAAGCCTCTTGGATGAGAGGTGAAACGTCTTCAACGAACTCAAGCAAGTCCAGTTGCTGCTATTAATCTACGAGAATAACCACGACCTGGATGGCTGAGAATCTTCACAGACATTATTTACATTTAAAAAAAAAAGAAAAAAGAAAAATAAGTACAAAGCTAGGTTATGACAGTATTTGCAAATATCTACATCACCTGAGCTGCAGCCCTCCAGTCTCTGACAAACATCTCCACGGGCTCCGTTAATAAAGCAGCTTCTGTACTCTCAGCTTCGTGCAGCTCCTGCAGTTGCTCCTCTAAGTGACTTCGCACAAACTGCAGCTGAAGCTTAACATCCTCCAGATGGTCATATGCTTCCTTCTTGTGCTGACTGGCCAGCTGTAGTTGATCTTGCGCCTCTCTGGCCAACGCCTCGAAGTCTTGCCTGACCAACAGTCCGTACACAGCCTGGACCCACAGGCACAGGGATTCGCAGGCCTTACTGACCTCACGCACAGAGTCTGGTACAAACTGGGGACTGTCAACTATCTGTTCAAGCTGCTGCAGTTGTTCATTTGTGAAACTATTATGGTCAAAAAATTCCAACTCCTGAGAAAGGGAGATATAATAGCACACAGGCACTCAGTTTAAACATAATTAAAAAAACAACAATGCCAAAGCAACTGGAACATTATTACACAAACCAATGAATTATGACCCGACTTTAGCACCACGTTAACCTGCATTTAACACAGTTTTTACTTGCATTGACAGCTTGTTGTAAAACATATATATCTGTCACACACCTGGAAAAAGTTGGATTGTCCAAGAAGTTGTTTGGCACTCTCCCAGCCTGGTGGACGATTAAACAGCAAACAAACAGCATCCATAACTTTCACCACGCCATCAGGTGGATCTCTGTAGTGGCGCACCTCCTCCAGGTCAGATGGATTAAGAAGATTAAGAATCTTGAGGCGTGACAGGAACACAGTTGTTTTCTGAGAAAAAGATAATTATATATGAACAAGAAGCTCTTTTTTTTAATGACAATTCTAATAAATGTTCTGAATTGCTCTAAGGGATGTGACTATGTTACATTCTATATCTAAACAGGCAACCTCAGACGGTACAATGAAAAAGCAGATTCAGTGATTATCATAATGTGTCTGCTCACGAATGTATTTGGCTTCTTCTGAGTACACCATGAAAGTGCTATATTACCTGTATTGTTGCAGATGAAGTTATTATTTAAAAAAAGAAAAGAAAAGAAAAGAAAATCGGTACCTGTTTTTTAGCATGTTTAACCTGTTCTTGAATGCGATTCAGTTTGTCTTCCTCTACTACACATTTCTCACAGGCTTCTCCAAACAGGCTCTGCTGATCATCCACAGCTCTAAGGAGCTCTCTCTCACGCTACAAGAATGAAAGGAAGAGAATATACCATTTATGCAGGTATAATTTACTCATTTTAACATCCCTTAATACTCAAATTGAAATATTATCTGAAGTCCACTCATAAGGTTACTTTAACATCACCTCTTCGTTAAAAAATAAATTGCTTAAGAGTTTGTATTCCCCATTGTGCAATAATTTCTTCAGCCTCCATAAGCCTCTACGGTGCACTAAACACATTCTGAAAAGGTTGTTTAAATACTGTGAAACACAATCTTGTTTAGGTAGACATACAGAGTAATGATCCCACGGAAATGGCATTTGCTAAATTGCTCCACATTACCTGCTTTGTCTCAGCAACCTTATTTTGCAGTAAGTTTCGTTTGCATTGTATAGCTGTCAGGACATCCAAATGAGACAGAACAGAGGCAATTCTGAAAAAGACAATTGTATTATTGTGAACAAGCATCTGTTTTTGTCAAGAAAATATTATTTACTGCTATGGTTACTGTGCGCATTTGTGTGTCAGATACTGTTTAGGTTGTAGCTGGTGGTGCAGCAGTGTTTGCAGCATGATAATTTACACTGAATGTGTTTGAAGTGTTTGAATTTGTTGTAGGTATGGTGTATTGTATCACATAAAAGCTAGGTCATAGACATCCCTTCCTAAATGTGTTTGTACATGTGTGGCAGGACATTAAACACTGCAGATACAGGTAGAAATGGAAAAGGCAGAAAAGAAACAAACAACTACCTGTTGGTTTTCATCTGACATTCCTTGTGCAGGTGGCTGCAGAGATAACCAAACTGGGCAATGAACCCCGTATAAGTCCTCGGACTGAAAGGTTGAGCAGTCAGAAGGACAGAAGCATACTGACACGCAGACTGGTGGATTCCTGCCATCGCCACAGCCAGGCTGACCTTGGAGTCTTCTCGAGCCACTTCATTAAAAAAAAATCAAAATCAATAAAAGGACAGAGGACATGTCTTGGCATAGTCTGGACAAAGCAATGCCAGTGACAAGTGACAAAAATGAGTGTAGACTAACTTTGGTAGTATGACTCACTTTTATAGGGACTGATCTTGAGGCACTGAGAAGCAACTTCCACTAAAGACTCGTTGGACCACGGCTGATACACCTCCACACAGCAGCTGAGCCTCAGAGCCTTGGCCATTTGTGCCTAGATCATAAACAGTAAAGAATTAATTGGGAAATACCTAATCTAACCTGCACAAATATATGTACGAAACACCATTAAATTCAAATGTGGTGTGCGGTGACTCTAGGACAGACAGTTTAGGTAGACAGGGTCTTGATGAGCACCCCGGACATCCAAACTGCCCCCTGCTACTGTGCTCAAGTCACAAGTTGTTGCCCCAAATGGCTGCTTTGACATCTTACTGTTTGCTGACATAGTTTAAATGTTGTTTCACGTATATATTAAAATAGATGTGTACACTTTTGTCTGATATCAACGTGGTCTGAAAAGTTTCTGTTTTGTTATGGAATAATGCACAGAATTCCAATGGAACACATTGTAATGTACTGAAAACACTTACAGTCCAACGTTGAGCTTCATCGTTTGGAGGTATTTCACCGCAGTTTGTCGTGGTGAAAGGCATCAGCAGAAACACGTGAACATTTCTGTGGACTTGGCTCAAGTTCCTTTGTGAAAAGAAAACAGACCAAAGATGGTTTACGATGTCAAAACATGTATCCATCTGTAAACTCAGAATATTCAGTAAGCACATGAAATTCATTTCTAGTCCTAATTTTTCAATAAAATGATGGTGCTGATTGGTTAAAAGCTACCAGTTCTAGCTTGAGATTTACTAGATCAGTAAGGTTTTCCTCTTACTTCTCAAACATCCAACAGTCCATAAGGTATCTTCTTGAGTTCTTCACCGCAGTCACTCTGGAAACAAGGTTCCTCAGCTCCTCCTCTGTATAGAGCGGTGGATAGGCTCTGTGGGCCATCGCCACCAGTAATTCTTCTCTGACAGGTTGACTGATTTCCTCATGGACAAGTAGGCTGACTTTAACTCCATCCTGTCTAGTTCGATTCCCAGCTTCTTTCAGGATTTCATGCAACTTATTTTCATTACCAGAGTGTACCTCTATCAACTGACAGCCTGTGAGGTAAGCAGCTAAACGCACAGTGGTTTTCCGGCCAGTTCCTCTGTCTGACCCGATCAGTACTCCGTGACCTCCAGGTAAGAGTAAAGCCCTGAGGATGTGAAACAGCTGGCTCACCCCCTGTCTGTGCACCATGTATCTTGTCGTAATGTCGCAGTCATTTTCAGCTTCCTCTTTTCTGTCCATAAATGCACACAGCTCTTGCAGCAGTACATCAACTTCTTGTGCTTGATAAGAGCAGCTGCATTTAATTTTGTATTGCTGGTTCACAGACCTCAGGGTCTCAGAGAGCTCAGGACCATATAAAAGCCTTGTCATTATGTCCTCTGAATGCTGAAGAATCTGTGGTTGCAGAGAGTCAGTTTGAAGGCCTTCCTTTTCTAAGCAAATGTTTTCAGACGGAGGGAAAGGTTTAGCCAGTGTAGGGCCTCCCATCAGGTCTGACTGCTCACATGGTTTTGGTGCTTGAGGCAGATCTTGAGTATCTGGATTCTGAGCTATTGGCTGACAACTGCCTGCTGTGTCGATTGGTAGTGTTTGAATAGAAAGGCTTGTGTCAGCAGGTGGGCCATCTAAACTGTCAGGGTGGCTTGCATCACCCAATTTATTTCCATAGTGCGTTGCTGCAGTCTTGCCTATGAGTGACACAAGAGTTTTTCTTTCATCCTCTGTGCACAACCTGTCACTGAAAGTACGCATGCACTCATGCATCCAGAGATGTACTACGTTAAGAATTGATGCTGAAGGCCGTGACAGGACAGGAGGAAAGCTCGACTGTGAATTCTCCTTTTTCTTGATTGTCTCTGTGTTTGAGGTGTCTGTCTGCGACAGGCTCATCCCCTGAAACACCTTCTGAAGGTCACGATGGGAGAATATGAAATGGGGCCTCTGCAGAGTGGGCTGGAATTGGTCACATACTGCATGATACAGATGTTTAGTAGCAGTGATGATACAATTCAACATATCGTCACCACAGTGCTCAAGTGGTAATTCTTTGAGCCACATTTTTATCCAGGGAGACTGTGTAGACAATATAACTTCCAGAGATAGGCTAGGGAGCACAAAGATAGAGAACAGGCGTGAGAGTCGCGGGGATATCACATTATTGTGGGAGCTGCCCAACTCAGACACACAACATGTAGCCATGTAGCTAATAGTTGCAGAACTCAACAACTTGAGGTGGTAAGTGTCCAATGTCAGAATCTCCCCCTTGGAAATACTCTGCCGTAGTGTCTCTAGAGCCATTGACGCCTCCCCAAAGACATCTATTAATAGGAATGATAGACATATTTACCTCATAAAGCTTCACACAGTGCAAAATCTGACTAAAATGTATTTACATCAGGCTACATTTTCTTACTCACCACAGGGGGCTTCATGCAAATCGTCCACAAACAGAAGCAGGCGTCGTCGCTTTGTCGTGGAGTCCATAGTGTCTTTGCAGTTCTTCTGGCAGTTGATGCTATTCAGTATAACACGCAGGTCTCTGGAGCTCAGTAGTGGACTGGCTGGAAGACTAATGTGCGGCTTGTCAAAAGTTAGCAAAGTTTTGCACAGAGTAGTTTTTCCAGAACCGGGCTCTCCTGCAAGCAGTACTGGCTGATTTGCCTCCAACATGAGCTTCAGAAGATATGTGTATTCCCCACGCTATGCAAATACATTCAAGACACTTGTAAGTTAAAATATTCAAATGTGGTGATTAACATATTCAAGGTACCTTTAGTGTACTAGATACAATACTCAGGACAAACCTTGGGAATGATGGACTTTGTCAACAGCGGGTTCTTGGGACACATCTTACTGTCGATGTTAAAAAAGTGGTCAAATACGTTCTCTTCATCAGGAACCACAATTTTGTACCTGCAGGTGAAGAGCACTTGGCGAACTAAGGAGTCAAACTGTGGCCAGTGGCTAAAGAATAAAAAAAGAACATTGGATACAGATTAGTATTGATAGCAAGTATACAATAATATTGAATAACAATGTTTTATGAAGCTTCTCTTACCAGGAAGGCAGATGTCCACCAAATCCCCAAACATAAGCCACAAGAAAAAGGTTTCTGGTGAGCGAATCTTGCTCACTTTGGGGATCTGTGTCTGGTGTGTCAGATCCATTTAGAGGTTTAGCTGGTGGAGGAGTGATACAGTCTTAGTAAAAGCAGCATAACTACAGCACTGCTACAAGTTCATACGTTTATGTATAATGTTGTGGTATGTGTTCTAATGGCCAATCTTGTACCTTTTTTGTCTATTTGAAGCACTGCGTCAGATTTTTCCACTGCCTTCTGAAAATGTTGCAGGAGGGCATGAAGGATTCTAATAAATGACATGACTTCTTGCAGTCCATCTGTGGAGCTTTTACAAATTTCTCTGTCAGTACGGATTGCAGAGGTAAAAGCTTGTTTCCCAAGCAAACTAAGTGTGCTGGAAAAAAGATCTTCAGCCAGACTACTCCACATTCTCACAATTCCTTGACTGAGTTTGTGTTTGAAAGAGAGAACTTTCAGTTCACTCTTCCAGATGGACTTCCACAGATCAGTACCTGTGAAATAAACAAGACTGCAGCGGGTCACTGTGGATGGGTTTGCATCACGTAGGTCAGTGATCTCCAAAAGCAGCTTGAGGCATGAGTGAGACAGCAATGTTTCACCTGATGACAGACACAGAAATGGATCCTGAGAATTGCACAGTGTGGTTAAGTAATCTAACCAGCCAGGCTTTCCCACAGGCTCTCCATCCATTATCAGCCACTTCACTAATGGCGTCTCATCACTTTCATCCTTTTTGTTGCTGGTTTCAGAAGATGTGCGCTCATGTCGTTCTGAATCTCTCAGCGCCTTTGCAACGGCTCCGTCTTGCCATCCTGTGTTTTCACAGAAGCAGCCAAATATCTCTTCATGGAACATGGCATTGGGAAATAAGACCAAAGTGTCGACAGAACTCCAGTCTGAAGCAGAGATCTGTGGATGTGCCTGTGGAGTATCTCCTTTAATCACTCTGTCCTTTTCAGAGACATATTTATCTGCCTTGGCAGCCAGACTATTTATTGCTCCAGCAAGAGTACTGTAACAGGTTGTCTTCCCGCTACCTGAGGGGCCTATGAGCATAACTGCCTGAGAGAATTTCAAAGTCTGGTAGAGTGTTACAGCACTGCAAATTATGTTTGTGTCACAATAAAACTGTTTTTGTTGTAATTCTTCTGTAATTGCATCTTGAAGTTGGTTCTTTTCTGCTTCTTCAATATATTGTTGGAAAAGAGGAACTTGAGATGCTATAGGGAACGTGTCCCTAAAAAAGATGTAGAACTGTGAGGTTTTCATGTCCACAGGAATCAAGACAGACAAAACTGCTTTGACAATAGCTGTCTCTTCCTCTTGTCTCTTGGAAAGCTTTCCAGTTTCTTTTCTATCCTTCTCAGAAAGTCGGACGGTTTTTTGTGAAGTCGTAAGATCAGTGTGTTTGGCAGCTGACCCTTCAGCCTCGTTTGAAATTGCTTGTTGTCGTACAGTTTGTTGAAAGTACATTTCAGAAGCACAGATGATCTTTTGCAAGACACCAAGAAAGCAGCTCTTGTCATCAGTGAAATGATCAGGTAGACAGTGGGAATCTATGGCCAGGCTGATAAGGGACACCAGACGCTGACTTAAAGACATGGCCTCTGAGAATCCAATGGATGTCAGCATTACTTCTGCAATAATCCTGTAATCCGTATGCATTAAGGACACAGGTCTAGTTGCAAATCGCAGACTCTCTGGAATCTTGGATGCGTGCCCTTTTGATGAGATAAGAACACATCCATAGTTGAGGCTGGCAGAAATGCTTTTCCCTTCAAGTACCATATGGCATTCTGGATTAACCATATTTGTGCAACCTGTGACCCTCTCAACGGTTTTGTCCTCTGGCTCGTCATTTAGTCTTTGATTCTGATGTTTTCTTAATTCGTAGAAGGATCGGTGTATGTCTGCTAGATGCTGTCCCAGGAAGGACAAGATACTTGGTGTTAGTAAGTCCACAGAGTTGAGCAGAAGCCATGCTCCTGTTTGGAGAGCACCCAGCAACATCTGCTGAATAACACCAGGCCTCATGCCTGGACAACATTGTAAAATGACAACCTGTCGTCCCAGCGCTTTTCCCAACTGCACCACAACTTTTTTCTTTCCAGACATGGAAGGTCCACTCACAAACCCACACTTGTAGCTTGACAGAGCGAGAAGAATCCCCAGCCTCGCCTGATCTGTGGAAGGAGTATTCACCATCACCCAGTCTTCTGGACCAGAATACTCAAAGCCATATTGGAAGTGATGGCCCAAAACATCCACGTAACAAGTCGGATCATCGCCGTCTTTCTGATCTTCTGAGTTTACGTGATACTTCATCACACTAAGCCACTCAAAAGACGTTTCCATCGCACACTGTACCTCCATGAGTTGAGATAGCTGCTGTGCATGATTCATTGTACGCTGCAATAAAGCACGCAGGCACATCATTGTGTACTTGGAAATAAGAGATCCACTTTGACACCCTGGGACTGTATCTCTTATGGAACGTCCAAGGTTTTCCAGCTTTGCAGAGTTGTATGTCTTTATGTTTCCTAACGTCACAGGATTTGACTGTTGGAAAGCTTGTTGAACAACACTGCACCATACTGCCTCCTCAGCCACCAGCAGACACTGAAGAGGATATTCAGAAATAAGCTCTAGCACAAGTTGGGCATTTTTTGTCCTGTCAGCACTGTAGATGTCACAAGGTAAAAGTTGACTGGATGGTTTATGCTGGTTTCGCACAAGAACACACTGTTTCATGAGTTGCATCATGGTCAACTTCAATTGTTTCTCAAAGAGCCTAAGCCAAACCAAGGCATCAAGGTTTGGTTCCAAAGGAGACTGAAAGGCAATGTGTTCGTTGAGGCTTCCAAAAACCCCCATCACCTTCATCTGCCTGTGGCTTTCAGACGTAGCCCCACAGCTCTGTACATCTCTTGTGTTAGATGGTATTTCACAGTCCACTTCAAGCCTGCATACCCCTTTAAAGAATTTGCGCACAAAGGGCTGCAGTGTAAAAGGTGTTGGGTGAAAAGACAGCAGCTTCATCACTTCCCTGTCACTCAGGAGCCAGAGTCTTGGATACTGTGCACGGAGGGCTTCAAGGAAATCCGACATCTGATTGGAAATTGCTTCCATTGTAGACAAACCATCAGAGAGAATCTGGCAAAGGCTATCACCATGAAGTTTGATGCTTGTCTTGCTAAAGTTCAACACACAAGGGTCAGCTGATACAGAAGCCATCACTTCCTTAAATGTCTCATCACCTGGCTGGAAACGATTCAGCTATAAAACAAAATACAAAAAGAAAAAAATGTTAATGCAACATGTGGCCTTACACCAAACTTCCTTTATGGAACGTTCCAAATATTGACATTTAGATGTTTGATTTGTGAAAGCACAGGGACATACCAGATCTAATCTCTGATCACCAAAGGATGTATCACTAAACATCTTAGTCAGAAAGGCCCACATTTGCTGATATCTTTCAAATAACTCCAGCAGATTCTCTGAGAATATAAAAAAAAAAGAAAGAAAAAAGCAGCGTATTATATTTTTACAAGTCTGCTTAATTTGTGTCCGTGTTAAGACACTAACAAACTTCCACATGACTTGCTTAATTACTGCTTACTAAGTTTTTGTAGCGACTTAATCCAATCCTCTAACTGCAGCCTGAACTCAGCACTGTGTGGGGACGTCAACATGGTGGACAGAGTCATCACATCATTCTCTGTCTCAACAAGGAGTACGTCCAGACCTGAATGGGAAAACACATAGCAAATCCAGTAATTTGTTAGAAGGACATTGCTTTTACACACTTACCTTAAGAGGGACCCAAAGTAATGACTCAGCAACAACAATCTGTGACTACACAACGTCCACGTCTTTGACATTAAATTTGCCTGCTTGTTATTTAGTCTCACCGGTTATGGTGAATCTTGAATCATCGCAGAAGTTTTGACTCGCAGTTTGAACATTTGAGACGATGCCTTCTGTGGGCTTCTCCTTCTTTGATAATCCATTCTGTGGCTCACAGTGCTGCCAAACAGGGAGAGTGAATTCATCCAGCTGGAAGAGTCTGACTTTCCATCCCTGGCAAAGCTTTTGGAAGGTCTGCTCCATGTTCTCCTCTGTTTGTGCATCCCTGTAAATCTGACCGAGTAGAAGGTAGTGTAAATGTCTTACATCAGTTATTTAGCCTGTTTTCCCAAGCAAATGTTTCAACATATTATTTGCCTATTATTTCCATTTAGCACCACTGCCATAGCTTAGTCTATAACTTCTCTTGTACTCACTTTGTTAATCATTTCCTCATGAGTTTCAAGTTGCAGAGACATGAGATCAGCGACAGTCACCTTGTTCTCTGGGGCATACAGCAGACCCATGTCTGCAAGATACACAACATTTTGATCATAACATCTATGCAGCAGTTCACAGAGTAAGCAGTGGCACAATATGGGCAAAGTCTCCAACCTTGGAACATAGCTCTCCGGTGTTTTTCTTTAAGTGTGGGGCTCTGCAGCTTGGCCAGGAATTTGAGGTGATGGTTAAAGTTCTCTAGGACTTCTAAAGTCTCTTGCAGCACTGCATCATGGGGGGGTATGATATTTGTCAAAGACTGAGCTTGTTCCTTCCACATGGCAATTTTTGCCTGGTCTTGCGACACCACAACCTGACAAGTACACACATGTTCATTGTTTTTTGGCTCATATCACATGGGCAAGATTGATATATTCAAAAACAGTGAATACTATTATGGAGTAGGTTGTGCTTGTCAATACCACAGCATTACACTTCATTTTTACTCCAAAGAAGAAAAAGAAGGAAATCAATTAAGAGGGAAGCACATTTAATTTTACGGGGTGTGTCAGAAAGGTTCCAGGACTGGTGTCACAAAAGATATATTTTTTATAAGTTTTCCCCTTCAGACAATCAACCAGCACGTCTACAGAGAGATCCTGCAGCATTTGCTTTGTTCAGTGCGTGAGAAGAGGCGGGAGTTGTGGCATGACAACGCGCTCCGTGTGATTTTGTCCTCTTCCCCAAGCTCAAAGGGGTCAGCAGGGGGACCCGTTTTGGAGACGTGGATGACATTAAGATGGCTGTGATGACGGATGTGCGGAGGATCCCCAAAGAATCCTTCCAGGAGTGCATGGCGGCGTGGCACAGAAAGCTGGGAAAGTGTGTTAGACTCCAGGAGGATTAGTTCGAAGGGAAAAACTGGTAGTTTGGATTTGAAATGCATTTTTTGTGACACCAGTCCTGAAATTTTTCTGACACACCTCATATACAAATAGAACAAATTGTTTATTCCAAATAATTACCTGCATGACAAACACATTTTATATTCTTGTCATGAAGCAAAAAAAAAGTGATTTGACATTTCACCTCACTGAAAAGCAGCCGTTTCCATTCTTCCAACCACGTAGCACACGCAGCTTTCAGCTCCCACAACTCTTTGCGGGCTGTGACCTTCTGAGCATCTGTTGTCAGAATAGACAAATCCATTGTATGCTCTGATGGGAGACAACAAAACAATTAGACTTCAAATTTTTGTCAATACATATCTTTTTTTCATTTTTGTTCAAACACAAGAAATAGATGTTTTGTTATTATTACTTTTTTTTTGTTGTTGTTGAAGTTTATTTTTTAATCTGCAAGCAATCAAACCTGAAAGTCCTTCCAGTTCGGAAAGTGTCTTCTGTAAATGATTTATAGAAACTACACCGAATCAACCCACCTTGTAAGTTTTGACTGTTAATATTAAGCTGTTTCAGCTTTGCACTCAGAGTCTGCACATGTGCACACATGTCGTTCAGTTTAGAGGCCATCTCTGTGGCATTCTGGTTCAAGTCAAGAAAGGGTCCAGATGTAGCATGAGAGACTACATTTTTAAGGTCACAGACCAAGCACGAGAACATTGTGTCCAATTCTTTAGCTGCTGAAGGAAGACGGTGGCGCACAACACTGTCTGCTTGCTTCAAGAGGGGAATAAAGGAATTCCACAGGCCCAGCATCTAAATGTGGAACACAAATAGAAGCACGCACACTGCAGCGAAAAACAGACTCAGATTACTGAGGTGTACAACTACAGTTTGGTTATTTATGGCATTGTCTTCATTTCTACGCCTGCAAACCTTTTCTTCCAAACTCAGCTCCTGCTCTGTCATCTTCCTATGGGTCAGGCACATCGCGGTATGGAGGGAGTGAATGTACTCCAACCGTCTCTGTACGTCAGCCAACATTTTCACAGATTCCCTCACCTGCAGACAAAAGAAAAATGTTGCTTTTGATACATTTTTTTTCTGGTTTATCGTTACTCAGTAAATTATATTTGACCAGTGATTTCAAATATACAATATATGTTATCTTCCATCCCAAAAGTCTTAGGAGGCAAAACAAAGTACCTTCAGATGTCATTATATAACATTCTAGTGACTACGGGCTGCAATTTCAGTGACAACTAGAAGAAATATATCCAAACCATACGCTCTCATAACAACTCATTATCACAAAATCTCACTGGAATACTTAATAATGGAAATTCTAAAAGTATACACTAGGGTTCCTCACCAGCGCGGCATCAAACAACAGCACTGTAGGCCTTAATGCACTGAGAATCATCTGATTATTCTTGGCTAATGGAATCTAAATTCAGAACACATTTGAGGAGAGGCAGAGCCTTTGGGATAAATAATTTAGTTAAAGTGAATGTGTGACCACAAGATGTGCCTCAAGAGGATCCGAACGTTCCTTCCAGCCTCCTTGTTAAGAGACAACACAAAAAACGAGGGTATTGTCTCGCATATCCAGTTATCTATTTCTCCTCTACACATGATGTTTTTTCTTCTTATACACTATTTTTTTCAGGCATATATGTCATTCTCAGGAGTTTCTGTACCAAAAGAGCATATTGTGAGAAGTCATGTAAGTCTTGTGGTTCTGTCTTGAGTTCAGCAGTCGTCCTCTCCAAGTCTGATATGACATTCTCCGAGTGCAGCTTGATCTGCTCAACTAGCTGCTGCAGCACTTCCTCCTCAACGGACCTTAGTTTTCGTCCTGGAGAAACGAAGGCACAGCGGTCATGAGCGCTTCTCATTGTTAACATAAAGTAAGTAATAGATATCTCAACCAATCAACAGACCTTGGAGGAAATTTGAAACAGGGATAATAGTTATTTCTTCTAGGTTTGAGATAATGCAGTTTTGAAAGACAGTCCTTTAGAGTCATCATGTTAAACTGGATATAAGCCGCTACTTTCATACAACTACTAACCTAGAGTTTCCTTTGTGAAGGTGCAGTCAACAATGAACAGTTGGTTGGAGGTCGAGATCAACGAGTCAGCTGTGTTGATTCTTTCAGTCCAGTTGCGCGTCTTCTTAAAGTGTTCCTCATAAAGCAAAGCAGGTTGACCTTTCATGGATTCCAAATAGGCTAGACTCCACTGGCCAACAAACAAATGGATGTCCACCAACCATGCATAGCTCTCACATAGCTGCCGGATTTCCAGTTCAGCTTCCTGTCCAGAGAACAGCAAGAGCTACTGTAGGCAAACAGAGTAGTGCGCAGATTCTATAAAACAATTACTAATTGTGCATTGACATCGACCAGTACTGGATTTGAAAGTGACAGCCTCACCTGCATGGTCTTAGCCTGTGCTTCCTCAACTTGCTTTGTAATGTCATTGCTGCTAATCTGCCACTCCACTTGTGTTTTGGACAGAGGATAGTAGGAACCACGCACCATGTTGCATTGCACCACTGGAAAATTCTCTTCAGGCAGCACCACTGACATGTCTCTGAGCCATCGATGAGTCATCCTATCGTTGTTCATCTCTCCTAGGAATAAAAAAAAAATAAAGATCTTTCAAAGACACAATAATTGACAAAAAATATAAATAATTAATCAGATTGTGGCACTACTGTTTTCTCAAGACCACACTGATCCCCAGAGAAATCCACAAAGTGCCAGGCACATTTTCACATGAATACCATGGGTTTACATCAGCAGAATCTCAAATTAACTGAAATTAGAAGAGTGGAACGTAAAGACCAGCAACAACAGCAATGCAAATGATCATACCTATAGATGCAGAATGTTGGATACAGCTGGCGTCTGAGGATAAATCCTGGGCAGATGTGAACTCACTGTTGGTTATCTCCAGGAAGAATCCACAATTCTCACACATCTGCCAGGGATGAAAGGTGAGTGTGGTGATTGAATTAACAAATGGAATAATTATATTAAATATGCTAAAAATATTAATCCTACTTGTTGGATTTTTATTTATTTTTTTACAGATTTTTTCTACGGATAAAACCGTCAGTTTCGTTGTTAACGTGATCCAATGATAAAACGATATATAGCCGATTATGTTTAAAATAAATAAATACACAGCGAAGTGAGAGGAGGAGAGGGAGAGGTCCAACACACCTGATGATAAAAGTGTTCAGGTGCAGGCAGAGAGATCTCGACTGAGTCAGTAAGCAAGAAAAAGTAGCCCCACATTCAATCTTGTAGGTTCAAATTTTAACAGTGATCACAATTTTGACTCTATGAACATGATGGCCAGTGGTATGGACATTTAAAATACGCTCAGCTTGTAGAAAAGACTGTTCATACAAAAAAACTAAATATCTGCTAATAGAAAATTTTTCAACATGGGCAAACTTGTGTAAAACACACTTTCCACTGTTCTCCAACAAATGTTTGATCGCGCACCCGTCAGAGGAGCAGCCACATGGTTAGCGTCTACCAAAGCAGCACGTGAGGCGTTTAGGGAACATTGGTAAAAGGTAGCATCTACCCATGGGCATTTTCAGCAATTGTTTAGCCTGTACCCAGTTAATGACTGATATCAGAAGAGGATTGCTAACAAAATAAATATATTTTCATTTTAAAATATTTTACAAACGTCAAGTCTTGTATCACTGAAGATCATTGCAACATAACTAAGTTATGCAAAAACAGCCATTCATCAGCTGCATGGTGCATCAATAGCTGTGGCAACGCTGAACCAAAACAAGGGAGGGGGGCGACCAACAAAGTTAATTGGTAGCACCAGTGCTACCATTGGAAAAGTTAGTCTGGAGCCCTGTCTAAGCCATTACAACTGCACAAATGAACCTTTTGGAAATATTAACACTTAACTTTTGTCCTTCACACTTCAAGTGCAAACACTGTTTCGTGACCTGTCCAGGGTGTCCTCTGCTTTCACCCTAAGTCAGCTGGGATAGACTCCAGCCCCCCACGACCCTAGTGAGGATTGAGCGGCGTATAGATAACGGATGGATGGAAATACTGTTTCATGGTTTGCTCACATTATGAACTACACAAGTGAAATATTCTAATTTGTGTTCACCACGTCCATTTGACACAAATGTGAGGCACGCTTCCAATGACACTCTCTGCTTCTGAAAAATATTCTGTGATGCAAGTGTAGCTGTAATTGCAACTGTGGGAATGTATTAATTACCTGAACAATAGAGTCGCCAACACTCAGAAGTGCTTCACTCACTGTTTCTTGGAACAGATGTATCGGTGGGTCCAAAGTCAGCAGATTTTTGGCACTCAAACACAGCTCAGTGTGGAAGACACAGCTCTGAGATTTCCTCCTCTGCCAAACAAAAAACATTCAGTTAAATTTATTTCATTAAATATAAATTCAGTTTATTGTCTATTAGCTTTATCTGATGCTCCCTCAGGTACTTTATGCAGCAGTGGTGCTTCAGAGTAATCACATGTTTGTATTCATATTTCTTCTGGTTATATTCTGAGAGAATCTTGCAACCGTGCACTATCTGAAAACACTTTGTGTTAAAGACCAAACTGACAAGGCTTCTATGCTTTAAATCAACTTTTTTTTTTCTAGCAGAAAGGTCTGTATGACTATAGCAAGACACTGCTGCATAAATGAAGGAAATTAAACACCTTTAAAAGACTGAGAAAAGAAATGGCATCTTGCTGGATGATGGTGACGACACTCTGAACAATCATTTCATGGATGAGTGCTGCAAAATTTCCTAGTTTCTGCAGGATGCCTTTAGACCGGGCCAGCTCTTTCTTCAGCTCACGCTGGTGAGCCAGATGCAGGTGAATGGGTTCCGAGCATCTATTTGGCCATTTAGCACTTTTTATTTGCAGCTGCAACTCCTGGTGTTTCTTATAGCTTTCTTCCTTCACCTGAGGATAAAAAAAGAGCATCTTAGAGATTATTCCAGAAAATGTCAGGCTTCTTTCTTAGATGAAGTAAGGCTCTTAAATTATACTCATTAAAAAGAAATGCTGTGCTCTCAGGTACTAAATGATTAATGGTATTCTTTATAAAGTTTACTGGTTGTTATGGTTGTACGAAAAACAAAGAAGTACCGCATTTAGGATAACAGTACGACACTGTGATAACTTCTGCAAAACCTGCAGACACTCTTGATTGTTGGTTATCAGTACATCCTTGAACTGCAGCAATGTGTAGGTTCTAGAGTCATCTAGAGGCATCCGGTGTGTCCCTTTTACTTCTTCAATAAGCCTATAAAAGAGAAAAGTGAAGCACAAAAACATTCCCACACTTTATGTTTAAGTTAAAGGTCAGATCCAATCATAAAGAAACTGAACGCCACAGTCTGATAGTTCCACAAGTATTACAGCATACAAAGAGCTACTGCTCCGGTATTTTAGTGTTGTAGCTGTGATTCAAGGCTGGGGTCTGCTCTAACTCACCTGGTGAACAGATGAAGAGCATTTCTAAACTGAGGTACAGCTATAAGAAGCATTTCCTGCAGATTCTTACATTTGCGCTGAAAAATGATTTTGCGCACATTTTTATGCCACCTGGGGAAAAAAAAACAAAAACATAATGCATCAGGACAAAAGTTATAAGTAAGTGGTGAGAAAGACAAAAGACAAAGCTAAATGGATTACCAGATGAAAGCCTTCCGCAGTCTGAAGTCCCTGAAAAAAGGGATTTCCTGCAGAGCTGTCCACAACACACACTCTTGGTACCACCTTCCCAGACTGACAATTTCATCACAACCCTTCTCTGTCATGTGTGCAACAGTTTTGGAAGAGAACAAATAGTGCTCTGAACCAGCATCACTGGATTGGACCACTCGCAGGTCATAGGGTCTGTGAACAAAGAAGACACCTGACTGTACATTTAACTGTTGAACAGCATGACATGACAACATGAGACAATGCAGAGAACTCTTAAATTAAGCTGTGGTAATTATCATTTTTCACTGGTACCTGTAAGCAGCCCTATCTGCTTCTTTCAGAAAATAAAGCTCAAAGTCTTCTGGGTCTCTTTTCTGGGCAAAGATTTGAACAACCTCAATGCCAGTAAGAGGAAATTTACTTGGTCTGGTCGCTTTCCCATCTTTCGCAGTCATTATCTTTTTATCCTTACATGCTGTGACTGTCGCTGGTTCATCTTTATCTGTAAGACTGAAACAAGAAAAAATGAGCATAAACAAGAGAGAAATTCATTTAGGATTTAAATAGCTTGAGGAGTAAATGTTGACAGCTAATCTGCCAGCTCTTTATACAACTTTGGTAACTGATTTTTTTTTTGTTTTTTTCAAATCTTCAGGGATAAAATTATGCAAGAAAAAGACAATATTTATTTTAAGCAGACATTGTGTGAAGAGGGCCTATAAAGACACACCTACACCTACTGCATATTTTCATCAAAGCACATTCATCATGCTCATTTTTTCTAAAGGAGTTTGATAGCAGTATTGTATTTATGTCAGAAATTACAACATTTTACACAACCTAAATGAGAAAAAAACCACTGTGTAATCCATGCTATCATTATCCCCGTGTACCTCTGCGCTGTCGACTGAGTCGCTCTGATAGGGATGTCAGTCCCTAATGCTAAGGCCATCAGTCCAGGTCCTTCTGTCCATTTTCTTTCACGTTTGGCTATCGCAGGTCCTACTTGGGCTATAAGACGAGGTAGTTCCAGCCCTGACAGAGGTTCGTCTGAGGGGACATTTCTGAGAATGGACCTGTGACTAAACAGAGGTCGGGCCGCAGACACTGCTGGTAAAGTCACATCACCAGAGAGGGCCTTTTTCTTAACCTTGGGCCTTGTAATGCCTTTACCACAGTTCTCAGAGGATCCATCCGTTGCAGGGGCAGCGGACATTATGCTGATGTCTGTGTGAATACCATCAGCAGGTGTTGACCTGCCATCCTACAGAAGAACTCTGGGAAAAACAAATAAAGATATTTAACCTGAATCGCCAACACACTGTACCATTCCTCTGTAACCTGCACTGCGAATTATTTTCATGACACAAAATTGCGTGAAATCTATAAGGGGAAATAGATTTATTAAAATTAGCAAGGATGCTATCAGGATAATCCACTGTTATAGGCAGTGATGATGACCTGAGTTTTAGTTAATACTGTAATAACTGTACTAATACCGGGGGAAAACAATCTCAGTTAAGTGTTATTTACGCTATTATCATCGGGCTATGATCTGTACAAATGAAATATGTCACTAAACGTGCCTCGTTTTCTGACTCCCACTCACAGATTTAGCAAATCAGAAGGAAATATGGATAACAGCTACATCCTTGTCGACACGTATTTACAACACATCTTACAAAACGTGGGACAAAAACACTCATTTGGCCTGTTTTGACTTAAAAAAAAAAAACAAAAAAAAAAAACAATGTCTATACAGAATACATAATGCTTAACGTGATGTTTACAATTGCCTAAATAACTTCTAAACATCCTAACTTGAAGTTAACGTTAGCTTGCTAAATATGCAATTAGCAGGTGTTTCGTTAGCAAGTTATGCTAACTTGCTATAAAGTTAACTCGGTAAGTTGTGAACTCTCACCGACACCTGCTCCTCATACAGCTGAAGTTCGGGTACCGGGAGGATAAGAACAAAAAAAAGCCAAAAAGCAGCAGTTCTAAAACTAAACGAGCAGTTTGTAACGACTAGTAACTAGTTAACTAGAAACAACGCTAACTTTAGGGAGACTTTCTTACCTGGCTGTGAAGAAGTTGTCGGCGCAACCACGGCGACGGCTCGTTGCCACGGTAACGCCCAGTAACTGGAGTGCGCAGGTCAGTGAGCTGCTGCTGCTGCTGCTGCTGCTGCTGCTGAAGGTCAAGTATTCACAGCTTCAGCTGCTCCTAACCTTTAACCCGACGGTGTTTTTATCTCTCATGTAGCTGGTTAAGGCTTCAGGAGACAACACAGAACTCCTTCCAATGGCATTTTATATTCTTGTTTGGCTGCAGTGACAGCAGCTCCCTCAGAAACACAAGCTGTTGATGGATTTTTAGCTTTGTGTCTGTGTTTTGTTTTGTTTTTTTAGTAGATGAGATGCTAAAAGTATGAAAATCTTAACATCTCATAATAACTGTTCTCATGTAAAGTTGATCAAATTGGTTAAAGTCAAACACGCAAAGAGCAGAACTGAGTCATTATTAATCTCATCAGTGACATCTTTGTTTTGTTTTGTTTTGTTTTTTCTCAAAATGAGACAAAAGCAGGAAAAATCACAGGTGGGATTACAAACATTAACGTCCCTCTGGAGTCATGCTTGAACCCCTACAACAGGGGTGCCCAATCCTGGTCCTCGAGAGCCCCTATTCAGCATGTTTTAGATGTTTGCCTCTTCCAATACGCCTGATTCAAATGATCAGCTCATCATCAAGCTCTGCAGAAGCCTGATAACGATCCTGATCATGTGAATCAGGTTTGTTGGACGAGGGACACATCTCAAACATGCTGGATAGGGGCTCTCGAGGACCAGGATTGGGCACCCCTGCCCTACAAACTCCTTTCTGTGCATCAAAGTTATACATAAAATGGAAGTTTTTTCCATTTAAACACTCCCCTTGTGCCCTTAAGCAGCTCGATTTCTTAAAAAGCCGTGTGAATAAGGTCTTTTAGAGTGAGTCTAATACTCAGCAGTCATCTTGGTAAAACACATCCAGGCAGTTATTTTGGGATAAGACAAGACCAGGCTTGTATGTTTGAATAATGAGAGAGCTATATCTGTAGTTCTACTGTTCACCAGGACATAAAAACTGCACGCATAGAATCAGTAGTCAACATTTTGATGATTTTAAATTTGAATTAAGATTTGAAATGAGATTTTCCTGACAGGTTATAATAGGAAGCACAGTTTTACAATGGCAGGCTTGTGTCAGAGCAGCAACACCATAGGATAAAACATTTCCTGGTTTGGGTAATGACAACAGGACGTGTCTATCTTTGGCATGATGGAATTCTCCCACAGATTTCTATTCTGGATTCTCATAGTGGCGAGTCTCTATCTTATAGCATCTGCATTGTTACTCGAACAGGGTTTTTTTTTTAAATTTTGCATGTGATTATATGCCGTGTGGTATTGATGAATGACCCCCTCCCCTGAGCCATAAACAATTCAGATGTTACTTTAAATATAAATATATTTTCCCCTATCCAGCATTTTCATATAAATATATTTTCTTCTGCTTCTTTGCACCAATGGACCAAGTCAAATTCCTGGTGATGTAAAAATTACTTGGCAATAAAACTGATTCTGATTCTGATTCTGATTCTAAAGCTGGAATAAAAACCACATGTGCTGGAAGTTGCCGTAACTTAAAATGGCTCAGATGCAAGTCTACACTGTTGCCTCCTTTCAACATCTAAGAAGCCTCTTCCTCAACCCTCCCCCCCTCACTGCAGCTCGAGCACACCAGCTCAGCTATAACACTGTTCAAACACCGTTAAACTACACAATAACTAGTATTGGAGCATTTCTGTCAAATAATGTTTGATCCGGAAGCTGATTCTGAAGAAGAATAATGATACAGAAAGTCCCACCCTGTGAGTTGACAGGATTAGTTATTCAGATTTATAAAATCTGGGAAGTCTGAATCCATGTTTTGGAGGCTACAGTTTTAAAGTGGACATCTTCAGCCATGGAGCTGACTGCTTTTTACACTCACTATGTGTCTTTTAGGATATAAAAACTCCATGTGGATATGTTGGCAAGGTGAATCTTCACCAGAGGGAGCTTTTAATAAACCAGGACACAGTGTTTCTAATGCTGTGGCATATCAAAATGTCTGTTATCGCTGAGCCATTGTAAAGGTTTGAGTAAGAAAACTACATCAAACTCTTGTGCTGTGTCCTTAAATGTCTACAACAATGCCATTAACCTACTGTACACTCACTTCTGTCACAGAGAAACATAAGTTCAACATACCCATCAGGAAGTCCAGTATGACCATGTCCATGAAGTCCACCAGTCTTGTGCCTTTGTCGTACGGCGGGGTCTTCTTCACTGTCGCACAGTAGTCAGGTTGTGTCTCCCACCTGAAACATACATTCATGTACTCTGAAGGCGGAAGGGAAAGATCTGATGATTTATTAGCTTCAAAATGAGCTGTAGCCATAAGGCGAAAAACTGGATTAAACAATGATCTCTGGTGACACATTTAATTAAGTGTAACAGGTCTTATTATGCAAGTTTTGCAGACACATTGGGGATACGTTGAATCACTTGTTGTCATCCAGAAAACTGGTTCCTCGATGACTAAAGAGCCTGCGTCCACTAACTTTGCCAGCTTTCTGCGACTGTAGGAGCGTCTCCATGGGGATCTCCAGGTCCTGCGGGCGGCCAGGGACAGATCTGGCAGCATGACAGCCAGGGAGGCCTCCAGGTGCCGGGGGCGGCCGCACACAGCATGCTCTGTTGAGCAGTAGTAGGAGCAGCGACCGTAGAAGCATATGTTCCCCACTAGGGGGAGCCACAGGAGCACAGAGGTGGAGAAGAACGGTGTGAAAAAATAATAAAGACAGGAACGAGGTTTTGAGAAGAACTGGAGGAATATTCATAGGTGCATAATCAGATATATATACGAGGCCATTTTAAGCAGGAACATTTGTGTGTGAGCGGTACCAGGGGAGGTGAAAAAGGTTCGAGCCAGCTTGCGATCGGTTGTGATGTCTTTGATCTCCTTGACCACATCAACCAGCCTCCCAACCACAGGAGGGACTCTCCTGTAGCCCAAAATCCTGCAGCGAGGGTGAAATAAAGTACCAGACGGGGGACAGAGTCCATCGCAGAGATGAAAGACAACAAAAAAGAATATATTACATGATGTTACATAACATGCATTCATTATCTGAGCAGTTCACTCACGTTGCTTGCTGTGGCAGTGCTTTGCTGTAGGTTCTTTGATTTAAAAAAAATAAAAATAAAAAATGGACTTGGTACCTGTCCAGATGAAAAGCTGCAATTTCTGCATTGTGTCTCTCAAAGTCAGAAAAGTAGAAGAGGTTGTAGTTGGTCTCTTCGTCTCTCTGCTGCCTGACAAAAGAGGCCAAGTCAAGAATGTGTTCCTCAACTAGAAATGCACGTCAAGTTTAGTCTATTTTAGTTGCCAACTTAATTTGAAAACCACCAAGCATTTGAGATTATGAGACATTAGACACCTTTCTGCCCGGCAGTCGAGAAACAGCACATGTCTCAGCTTTAAACTTAGTGGAATGATTTCAAGCGGATGTAAGGAATTCATTTTTATACACTCTTGGTAATATGATCAATGTGGTGGTTTTGCCATTTGCAACTTACTTCATGGGTTTGAACATGGCTTGTCCATAGTTGGGAAATGACATCACCAGCTTCAGCTGCGTCCCCCCAGACTTCTGCACTGGAAAACAGTACAAGGATGTTACCATGGCAACAAAGCACACGCCAGGCACCACACACACACACACACACACATATATGCATGTGCACACAGAACATGTCATGCTGTGACCAAACACACCGGCCATTAATGTGGCACACACACACACACACACACACACACACACAACATAACAGAGAAGACGTGCGTCATCATCGAGGTATATCACAGTCCCGTCACTTTGTTGGTACACACTGTTGTGTCCCTCTCACAGACTCTACACACGGGTTGTGTTCCTCTCTCACACACATACACACACACACACACACACACACACATACACACACAGGGTTTTTGCTATGTTTGCTGGGACATTGCATCATATGAATTAATTCCTGTTAGTGCTACACAGGCTTCACTAGACACCTCATTATCCGGCGTAGTATGTTACAGGGATTTATCCTTCACACTTGTCTGCATATCACTTTAAATTATACTTTTTAACACAGAATTTCAACACATCCTCTTGACTATTTTATTTTGTACATGTTTTTTTTT